TGTGTGTGTGTGTGTGTGTAGGTGTGTAGTTGGACAACAGTGGCCCCGTGTGTAACTGGACTGGAGGGTGCAAGAATTTAAATAATTTAATAAAAATATTAAAGTGGTTGCAGCTATTTGAGGCTGCCAAAGAAAAAATAAAAAAAGAGAGAGAGAGGCGATATTAAAATTTACTATTTTAAGAGAGGCTGTTGATTGTATTGGCGTTCGAAGAGTTGATTTCTTAACTGCTAACCCCCTTTATACCAAAGAGGTACAGTAGTCCTGTTAATCTGCTTGGTGACAAAATTAAAGGGGGGTGGGCAACATACTGTGGCTCCTTGAAGGCTAACGAATTTGTTTTTGTGGATTAAAAGCCACAGTGTGATGCGTCTGAAGGAGTGGATTTTGATCCATGAAACAAACATCAAAACTGAAACAAATCTCAGTCTTTAAAATGCCAGAAAAATTTCTCCTCTGCTTTTTTGCTCTTTTTCCTTTTAATTTTTCCAATGTACCTTTTTTATTGTCTTACTTCAGTTGTTAGGAAATATTTTTCATGGAATTACAGATAAATATAAACCTTAATGGTGAATAAGCTCTTGTTGCTATTAATTGCTTCATTGACATACCACAGTTTCAATATACAGTATATGGTGAATAAGCTCTTGTTGCTATTAATTAAAGCAAACCCTCTTTGAATTTTGATCAAATTAGGGCTTTTATTTCTTAACTAAAGCAGGTAGTCTTCAAATATGGAAAGTGAGCTTTGGAATATGTTTTTGTCTAGCCTTCCTTAGATCTTGTTTTTATATTGAATGAATGAACTGGCTGTAAGACTACAGTTGGAAGAACTTTTTTTTAACATGCTGTTGCTTCATTGACATACCACAGTTTCAATATACGTACAATCATTTTTGTAGCAATCACACAATTCCACGAAGAGATTCATGCTAATCAAACAAATTTAAAGAAAAGCTCTGTGCACTGGTTGCTGCCTAATGCAGTATTGATTTTTTAAATTTTTTACATAGTGTACCATAAAAGTTGTACCATAAAAGATTCTGGGAAAAGATCTATGATGCAGGTTTTTCCAAGAGGAAAGAAAAAGAGCCTTTTTTTTTTAAAAAAAGAAACTCTTTTTTAAATTTTTTACATAGTGTACCATAAAAGTTGTACCATAAAAGATTCTGGGAAAAGATCTATGATGCAGGTTTTTCCAAGAGGAAAGAAAAAGAGCCTTTAAAAAAAAAAAAAAAGAAACTCCTCCAACAAGAAAACTTTTAAGTTCAAGAATCCACGACAAATGTGATAAATTGCATATCTTTAAATTATTGGTAACCGAATAGTACCTCATTTTCTTAATGCTCTGGCTATACAGTATCTAAATAGGGGTATGCTATATTGAAAATAGTGGGATTTACTTCTTAGTAAGGGTGCATGGCACTGAGCTATAGATTGGTTATGTAGATCAGAATATAGAAGAGTTCTTCATGGCATGCCAAGATTCTGTAAAATTGCTGTGCATTATTTCTTTACTGGCCTTGAAGCAATCATTGTAATGGTTGTATTGGGAACCTATTGTATTTTACATACTCCCGGTATATTGCAGAAATGTCCAAGTGACTGATCATGTTAGTCTGATGCATTTAATGAAGTGGCTGCAGTGCATGAAAGATTAAGCAATTTAAATTGTTAAGGTGCCACAGGACTGCTATTTAGTTTATCCTTATGTGAAGGAAAGCTCGCTTTCCAGAGGGTAGTAAAAGACGGAGGTGGTTCAAGGGCATTTAACAAAGAGAAACCAGTTCAAGAAGCTTTATCATCAGAACCTAAAGCAGCTAATTTAAAGATGTACAAAGAGCCTTGCTGGATTAGACTAAAGGTTTAGCAACAGGTATTGAGAAGCATCCCCTTCACGGATTGCTGCCTTGTTGTGGCAAAGGGGCTTGAGTAATTCAGAGAAACTATGCTGTGCAGGGACACCCAAGTCGGACAGGTCATAGTGGAGAGTTCTGACTAAACGCAATCCACCTGGAGCAGGAACTGGCAAGCCACTCCAGTATCTTTGCCAAGAATACTCCTTGGACAGAAACAAATCAGTGAACTAAAATGGACAGGAATGGGTGAATTCAATTCAGACGATCATCATATCTATTATTGTGGGCAAGAATCCCATAGAAGAAATGGAGTAGCCCTCATAGTCAACAAAAGAGTGGGAAAAGCTGTACTGGGATATAGTCTCAAAATGATAGAATGATTTCCAAGGCAGACCTTTCAACATCACAGTAATCCAAGTTTATGCACCAACCACCGATGCTGAAAAGGCTGAAATTGACCAATTCTATGAAGATTTACAACACCTTCTAGAACTGATGCCAAAGAAAGATGTTCTTCTCCTTCTAGGGGATTGGAATGCTAAAGTAAAGAGTCAAGAGATAAAAGGAACAACAGGTAAGTTAGGCCTTGGAGTTCAAAACGAAGCAGGGCAAAGGCTAATAGAGTTTTGTCAAGAGAACATAATATTGTACAGGAGGCAGCAAGAAAAGCCATCACAGAGAAAAGGAAATGCAAGAAAGCAAAGTGGCTGTCCAACGAGGCCTTACAAATAGCAGAGAAAGGAAACAAAATGTAAGGGAAATAGGGAAAGTTACAGAAAATTGAATGCAGACTTCCAAAGAATAGCAAGGAGAGACAAGAGGGCCTTCTTAAATGAACAGTGCAAAGATATAGAGCAAAATACAGTAAGAGAAAGAGAAAAACCAGAGATCTGTTCAAGAAGATTGGAGATATGAAAGGAACCTTTTGTGCAAAGATGGACACGATAAAGGACAAAAATGGTAGGGACTTCACAGAAGCAGAAGACCTCAAGAAGAGGTGGCAAGAATACAGAGAGGAATTATACCAGAAAGATCTGGACGTCCCGGATAGTGTAGTTGCTGACCTTGAGCCAGACATCCTGGAGAGTGAAGTCAAGTGGGCCTTAGAAAAGATGGCTAACAACAAGTCAAGTGGAGGTGATGGCATTCTAGTGGAACTATTTAAAATCTCAAAAGATGATGCTGTTAAGGTGCTACACTCAATATGTCAGCAAGTTTGGAAAACTCAGCAGTGGCCAGAGAATTGGAAAAGATCAGTCTACATCCCAATCCCAAAGAAGTGCAGTGCCTAAGAATGCTGCAGCTACCGTACAATTACACTCATTTCACACGCTAGCAAGGTTACACTCAAAATCCTCCAAGGTAGGCTTCAGCAGTATGTGGACCGAGAACTCCCAGAAGTACAACCTGGATTTCGAAGGGGCAGAGGAACTAGAGAGGAGATAGCTAATATGTGCTGGATTATGGAGAAAGCCAGAGAGTTCCAGAAAAACCTCTACTTCTGCTTCATTGACTATGCAAAAGCCTTTGACTGTGTGGGCCACAGCAAACTATGGCAAGTTCTTAAAGAAATGGGAGTGCCCGGCCCATTTGACTGATTGGTTCAAAATTGGGAAAGGAGTACGACAAGGCTGTATATTGTCTCCCTGCTTATTTAACTTATATGAAGAATCCATCATGCGAAAGGCTGGACTGGAGGAGTCCCAAACCGGAATTAAGATTGCTGGAAGAAATCTCAACAACCTCAGATATGCAGATGATACCACTCTGATGGCAGAAAAGTGAGGAGGAATAAAAGGACCTGTTAATGACGGTTAAAAAGGAGAGCGCAAAAAATGGTCTGAAGCTCAATATAAAAAAAAAAACTAAGATCATGGCCACTGGTCCCATCACCTCCTGGCAAATAGAAGGGAAAGCTTTGGAGGCAGTAACAGATTTTACTTTATTGGGCTCCATGATCACTGCAGATGGTGACAGCAGCCACAAAATTAAGACACCTGCTTCTTGGGAGGAAAGCGATGACAAATCTCGACAGCATCTTAAAAAGCAGAGACATCACTTTGCCGAGAAAGGTCCGCATAGTCAAAGCTATGGTTTTTCCAGTAGCGATGTATGGAAGTGAGACCTGGACCATAAAGAAAGTTGATCGCTGAAGAATTGATGCTTTTGAATTGTGGTGCTGGAGGAGACTCTTGAGAGTCCCCTGGACTGCAAGGAGAACAAACCTATCCATTCTAAAGGAAATCAGCCCAGAGTGCTCACTGGAAGGACAGATGCTGGAGCTGAGGGTTCAATACTTTGGCCATCTCATGAGAAGAGAAGACTCCCTGGAAAAGACCCTGATGTTAGGAAAGTGTGAAGGCAGGAGAATGGGACAACAGAGGATGAGATGGTTGGACAGTGTCATCAAAGCTACCACCATGAATTTGACCCAACTCCAGGAGGCAGTGGAAGACAGGAGGGCCTGGCATGCTCTGGTCCATGGAGTCATGAAGAGTCGGACACGACTAAACAACAGCAACAAAATTGAGAAGCATTCTGTCTCGTAGTGAAGTGCCTGCATAGCTAGTAGGCATTTTATGTTCCATAAGTTTGTGTGATCCTCTTGTAAAGTCCTCTGAGTCAGCAGGAAGATTAACTGTGTGCTGTACGAGGTAGTACGTAGTTTCTTGGGCTTCTGCTAGATTTCTCACCATTCCATTTCATTGGAAGAGCAGGTGTTCTGGGTTTATGAAAAAGAGAGAAAAGCCTCTCTCTTTCACTGCACTTTGCATAACCATTCCAGTTTTTTTTTCAGGGTACATGATATATTCAAGGAATGGTTTAGTAGTTTTGCCACACATCACTTACCAGTGAAATTCCATAACCAAGTCGTGATTTAAACCAAGATGTTCTGAGCCCAGACACTACAATATGAAGGCTCTCTAGTTGTAGTTTTAGCTGGTTTTTATTCTTGTATTGTATATTTTTATGCTTT